CCATCGAGAGTGAGCGACGGGTTGTCATCGATTTGGTCATCGTTTGCGGCGACTTCCAGGCCGTGCGTAACGAACACGACTTGCAGTGTATGGCAGTTCCCGACCGATTCAGACACATCCGGACGTTCCACAAGTACTACCGGCGCGATGCGACCGCCCCTAAGCTCACCCTTTTCGTGGGCGGCAATCACGAGGCCGCCAACTATATGCAGACACTGGCCTACGGGGGTTGGGCGGCGCCCAACATCTACTACATGGGCTACGCCTCGGTCGTCAACTACCGGGGCCTCAGAATTGGCGGCATTTCCGGCATTTACGACAAGACGGACGAGAATTGGGGACACTTTGAGAGACTGCCATTCAATGAGAGGACCAAACGCAGCGCTTACCACACGAGACGATCCGATATCTATAAACTCATGCAATTGAACGCGGGGTCAGATGGCAGTCGCGCGCAGGCCCTGGACGTGATGGCGTCGCACGACTGGCCCCTCAATATCCACAACTGCGGTGACGTTCAGCAACTTCTGCGCCAATCGAGACAAATGTCGGTCGATGTCAGTGCTGTCCGAGAGAATCGTTTGGGGAATCCATTGCTGATACCTCTGGTGACGCGTCTGAAGCCGAGGCACTGGTTCGCAGCGCATCTTCACGTGAAGTACGAAGCGGTGGTCAAACACAGCGCCGAAGACCCGGCCATTCAAACCCGATTCCTAGCGCTCGACAAAGTGGTGCCAAACAGACAATACTTGGATGTCATAGACGTCGAGCCGTCCCTACCATCGAGTGGTGATTGTCTGCAATACGACGCCGAGTGGTTGGCTATCCTTCGGTCGACCGACGAGTTGTTGAGTATTGAGAGGAAGTGTTTCGTTCCCGACATCCACTCGAGAGTGCATTCTGTGACCCAAAGTGACATCAATCGAGTGAAAGAACTCTTTGATAATGACTTAACAATTGTTCCCAACTTTCAAATGTGTGAACCAGTGCTCAATGATTGTGATTGCGATCCACAAAGAGTTAAGAATTACACGAATCCACAGACTGTCGAGTTCTGCAAACGGCTGGGTATTAGGGATCCCATGACTGCCATCATTGAGTCCATGAAACCACTGCCCAGTCAGGCCATTGCTATGAGAAGGTTACCAGGGTTATTTGATAAATAAATTAAATTAATGTATAATATAATGTATAAAATGTGTATCTAATTTATATTATATTAGTCTTAAATATCATATATTAATTTATTTTTAATTTATATACGGGTACTTTAATCTTATTATCATTTACACCACTTTTTAATTTATTCTTATATATTTGCTTAAATTTTAATTTTTTTACCATATATTTTATTACCATACTAATTACCGGTATAATTATTATTCATTATATCATTTGTTTTGTCATTTCTTTCATTAAAATATTTAATACAATTTACAATTAAATTATTCATTTACTTATAGTGTTATAAAAAATATCACAATTTATTCTTTGTTAACAATTATCTCATAAAATATAAGTTTACACTTTAAATAAATTTTAGTATCAACTTGGTAAAAGTTGGGCAGTGTTTGCCATAAAAACAATTTCATAAAACAATTCTCATTTGACTTGTATTTCATTGAGAAGCAGTTCTAAGAATCGGTAAACAAATAGTTTATTCGAGTTTCGATTCGTTAGTTTCGATAAAGAGTTCGACAAAAACCGATCGATCGATAGTTTGTCCGAAATGTACGACAAGTAGGCGTTCATTGAATTCAACGTGTATTTCACGTGCGAATCCAGAATACGGACGGTTTGGTCCAAATAAGTGTCGTTTTGTACGTTCGGTTCGGTTTGTACTTCGTTTTGTACGTCAAAGGAGTCACCGCTTGGAACCGGTGGCCAAATGGATGAGTGCAGGGAATGGATGTGCTTCACAACCGCGTCTTTCGTCACAAATACTGCCAATAAATGGTTAATATATCTGAAAATTAAGACAAAAAAAATAAGTTTTAAAATATTTAACTCAAGAATTGACTCACTTTTGGAGAATTGAGCCAAATATGAATTCCAAGAGATCTGTAGGAATCAGACGTCGAATCGGATCCGATTTGTTTGACAACAAAAGTATGAGACAATTGATGGCATGACTAGAAGTAGTTGTCGTGAGTTCCGAGTTCTGGTTCACCATTTCGGTGATATTCTCCGTCATCTCATTACAGACTTCTTGAGATTCATTGGTCGGGTCTTCGCAGCCGTCGCCTCGAGATCGCGGACCCAGACGTGAGCTAATACTGGATGCGCTCTCTTCGCATAACTCGTGGCCAACCGTCACGTCTCGTCTCGAGTCAAATGAGTCCATAAGTGTCTCATCTGTGGGCCAACACTCGCCCCAAATGTTGAGCTTCCGCTCCAATTGCATGCAGTGATTGGTCTCGACTTCTGTGCCGATCGACGAAATGGTTATCCTTTCGTTTTCGGCGACCATTCGTTCGCCGAAATTCGGATCAATTCGACCGATTTGTGGCTCCACTGGAAGCGCTGTCTTCATGATATTGATCGCCCCTTTGACTCCTTTATACAGAACTCTATCGATAT